GCCCGCGCGGCCCACGCGAGGGAGGGAGACAGAGAGAGAGAGGAAGAGAGAGGGAGAGGGGGAGAGAGAGAGAAAGACAGAGAGAGGAAGACAGAGAAGAGAGAGAAAGAGAGAAAGAGAGAGAGCGAGAGGGAAAAGGAGGGAGAACGAGAGAAGGAGGGAGAGAGAGGGAGAACAGCCCGCGTGGCCCACGCGACAAACAGGAAAAGCCCGCGTGGCCCACGCGCAAACAGGAAAGAGACAGACAGACAGACAGAGACAGAGAGACAGACAGGGACAGACGGAGACAGAAAGAGACAGAGACAGACGGACACAGACAGACCGACACAGACAGACAGACACAGACAGACACCCCCCCCCAGCGGCCCGCGCGGCCCACGCGAGGGAGAGAGAGAGAGAGAGAGAGAGAGAGACAGAGAGAGAGAGAGAGAGAAAAAGGGAGAAAAAGGGAGAAAAAGAACCAGAGAAAGGAACAGAGAGAGAGAGAAGGAGAGAGAACAGCCCGCGTGGCCCACGCGCAAAACAGGAAAAAGCCCGCGTGGCCCACGCGACAAACAGGAGAAGCCCGCGTGGCCCACGCGAAAGACATGCAACAGCCCGCGTGGCCCACGCGAAGACAAGCAAGAGCCCGCGTGGCCCACGCGAAAGACAGGCAACAGCTTGCGTGGCCCACGCGAAAGACAAGCAACAGCCCGCGTGGCCAACGCAAAAGACAGGCCGCAGCCCGAGTGGCCCACGCGAAAGAGGGAGAAAAGAGAGGAAGAGAGAGCAGGAGCAGACAAAAGGAAACGAGATGGCAAGCCATGCCGAAGAAAAAAAAATCGGAGATGCTTTCCGCAATGCAACCCTAATGTCTTGAACTCGACCGAGCTCGCATCTTTCGATACGCACTGCTCTCCGTACAAGTGTCTATTTGGGAAATCCAATTGTCACCAACTGTATTACACCTCAGGGCCTCCTGTGCGGCCTCAGGATCAGCCAAGGCTGCACCCGAGCGCAGCAAGAACCTGTAGATTCCCGCAATGTCAAGCCCGACAGGCGGCTACTGGAGCCATGAAAAACGGCAAACTTGGCATGAAAGTAAGCCATTGTGTGCAACATGCGCATCATGAACTACACATACGGGCTGGCTGGACTCAGCAACTCAGGAGCAAGGAAAAGAGACCAAATGGCTGCAAAATCCGCAAGCGGGCTGCGAGAAGCCAGTGCCCTCTAAATCAGGGGACAACTAAAAACCCAAAGCACAATTTGCCAAGCGGCCTAATGCGACAAGTTGAGCACTTGAGTGCAGGTCAGATCCATGAGCGCTGCTCACTCAGGCGAGTATGGCTGCCATGACCCCTTTAGGGTCGCTAAGCTTGTTGCGTCGACGAGGGTCGTGTTGTCGGCTACGCTTCCTACGACTGGAGGCCTTGCAGACCCCCACTGCTTTACAGAGCGCCTTTGCTCGTTTCAGTCTGCCCGGTTGAGGGGAGTGCGTGGCCGCGAACAGTGGCGTGGTACCCCACAGCACCCGTGTACCCGCGAGTACTCTACAAACTTGGCCCCCGCGAAGCAACCAATCCGAGGCAACTAATGTCCCAGCTGGACAGTAAACCGGGCTCCGATGTTGCAAGCGAAGCTCCAGTCCGCCTTGTAGAACAATCCATACTGAGTACGCAGCGTTCATGTTCCCCCCTGCCCACGATGCGTACTTCGGCCACGTGTCAGCCACGACAGCAATAGTGGAAAACGGTCCCCACAATCTGTAGTCCGGCTTGCACACCAAGCGGGCTCGTTTATACAGATGTTGCGCGACGGGTTTGAGGGGGACTCGGGAAAGAATGGCCAATAAGTTTGAGTCTCCCTTCCTTGATGAGAATCCTCTGGGTGTCCACCCGATAATCCCCTCCGGCCTATCAGTAGCATCCAGGAGTTCTTGAAATAAACCATCTTTTAGGGTGCAGACTGAGGCGGTGGGGGTGAGCAGTGGGGGACCTGGTCCTTGCCTTTGAAGAGCAATACCAGTCAAGGGCTCTTCTGTCAATCTAAGACACAGTTCGATAGATTGAAGTCCTCGGCACCTGCGAAGGTTCATGATCAAGGCGCGTACTTCTTCGCTGTGCTTCTGGCCGTCCCACTGAGAGGACCATGTGTTGATGAAGACGGCCTCTCGCTGCAAACATTGCCACTCAGGCACTCGATAGCCATGCAGTTCCTCTCCTGGCCGCACCATGCGTCGCATCCAAAGGGGCCAAGGGGATACGAGATGTACTGGGAGGACGCTGCCGGGTTCACCACGCTTCTCGAGGATGTCATGAAGTGCGTGGGTGTTCCACATCCACCAGCTGGATGTGCGGGCGGTGGTACTGAAAAGACTGCCGGATTGGTGACGGACCTTCTTGATCCAATGATGAAAGACTGCCTTCGCCCATGCGGCAGCACATGATGATCCTGCTGCAGCGTAGAGTACGCCGACGTTGACACCGACGGTAACCCCGTCAACATGGAAAAATCGAGAGGGCCGCCGCTGGGGTGGGTTCATTTTAATTGGCTCGGCTCCTGCACAAAAGGAAGCCGTGAGCGGCAACTCCCCACCAGCATATATATAATCAAGGTCAATAATCAAGTGAGGGCCAGGGAGGCGAAGGCGGTGAAGCAGAAGCCGATGCCGGTGAAGAAGTCCGAGACGGCGAAAGCAGCTGCACCTCCTCCAAAGCCTGCTTCGTCGTCCGAGACGCCCGAGGCTGCTGCAGCTCCTGCCGGTCTAGAGCTTCTGGGCCTTCGTCATGTGGAAGCTGTGCTCTGACATGCGGAGGCCACTAACCTTCGGCGAGGCCACCGAGAAGATCATGTCAGATACCGGCACCTGGAGAAAACATGCAAACAATCTTGTCATGATCAAAGCTCCGAAGAGCACACATCCAGTTAAAACACCATGTTTCTAAACCCTGACTGGTTCTTTGTCCCTGAACCGTAAATTTGTTGAAGCCCCATGTCGATGCCCAACCCCGAGGCCCGAAAGGATCCCATACAATCGTGAAGTCCAGAATGTCGATTTGGGGTTTAGGGTTTAGGGTTTAGAGTTGAGGGTTTAGGGTTTAGGGTTTAGGGCAAAGTTTAGGGTTTAGGGGTCAGGGTTTAGGGTTTAGGGAGGCCTTGACTGGTCCCCCCCCCACCTCTTCTTCCAGTAGCAAAGATGTGCTGCCCAAGAAGTACCGGTCGGGACCCCCGTTCCCCCAACTTCCCTCCGCCCCAACATTTCAAGACGGTCTAGGGTGTGGGTTTAGGGTTCGGGTTTAGGGTTTAGGGTTTAGGGTTCCCCAACATTTCAAAACGATCTAGGGTGTGGGGTTTATTGTTTAGGCTTCGGGATTAGGGTTCAAACCCTACGCCCCAATAGCGTTTCTACAAATCAAAGCCCAAACCCTCTAAACCTTTAACCTGAATCCCCAAACTCCAAACCAAAAGCCCTGAACCGTAAACTCCATAATTAAACCCATTTCCCTTTAGACCGAAAGCCCTAAACCCTAAGCCCCGAGCTTAAAGCCTATACACCCTGAACTCCTCATTCCTTAAACCCTGAACTCCAAACCTACATCCGCATACGCTCAACCCTAAACCCTATAAGCCTATAAGCTTTGCTGCCCCTTTTTTTAGGGTTCCTAGTTTGATGGTTCGGAACTGCTAGATACAAAAGCAGGCGGTACCCTCAGAAAGGGGGAGTCCAAAACCTTCATCCCGAAACCTTATTTCCTAAACTCAAATCCCTCAACACTAAACCCTACTCCCTAAACCTTAATCCCTAATCTCTAAACCTTAACCCTAGTCCCTAAACCTTAATCCCTAAACCCTAAACCCTAAAGTCTACTCCCTAAACCTTAATCCCTAAGCCCTAAACTTTACCTATAACAGGTAGAAGAAGAGGAGCTCCTCAGTCGCTTGAGCCAGGACTTCCTGTGGCTTAGGGCTTTAGGGCGGCCTAAGAAGCTTTAGAATGCAGGTGTTAGGGTTAAGGGGTACAGGGTTTTGGTGTTTCGGGTTTAGGGTTTAAGGTAGTTAGGAGCTAGGGTTTAGGATTTCATTAGCGGTTTAGGGCTTGTAGGGTGTTAGGGTGTTAGGGCTTAGGGGCGCTCCAATACGGGGATGATACGATATTCTTTATGAGGCCTTTGGCCTTATCCGGCTTCAGGACAACAAGATCAACCCTAACCCTCAGGGTCCATGTACCCAAACAGTATATACTTTGGCCTTAAAGTAGTCCCTTTATAGGTGCTTTGGGGTCAAAGTATATACTATCTGGGTACGTGGGTCCTTAGGGTAAGCCCCTAAATCCCGGAGCCCCAGGCAAGATGGGGTATAGGGGTCTCATGGGCTTTAAGAAGCGAGGCAATACAACGATGAGAACATAAATTCAATCCGAGGTTGAGGCTTGGCTGAACCGGCCCACAACGATCCCCACTGAAACTGAAACTGGTGCTCTGGACCGGCCATAGATGTATACGGTCGCGGATGATTCGTCGAGCACCTGTCGGAGGCGAAGGTGCACACATTTGCTTGCTTGATGGGAGCTCCCCTAAACCCCTAGACCCTAAACCCCAAACCCTCTACGCTGTGCAGGATCATGGGCCTGAGTTCGGCGCCCACTCTCCATGACGGTGCTTCTAGGGCAGCCTCTCCGCGAAGATCCCCCTGACGGTCCGACTGCATCAGCGCTGGTGACGTGGCTTCGCCCTACAACTCTTTTTGAGACCCTCTGAGTTTATTTATCCTGGGGCTGTTCGCCTTCTAATTTTGCTGGTTCGGTTGCCCAGCTTGCCTGCAATATGGAGCTTGCTATCATGTAGAGGTAAGGTAGGTATGTTCAAAATTCACACCACTTGCGACCCAACACGGCCCACAAAGGCCATGGAAGTACCTACAAAACCTAGTTTCTTGTCTAGATATTCATGAAGCCTCTCAAATGGAGCACCTTGAATAGGGTTTAGGGCTTAGGGTTTAAGAATGTATGGTTGTATCAATAAGGGTATATCAATTGCTGAACCCAAAACCCTAAACCCTAACCCCTAAACCCTAAACCTGCATAGCCTCACGGAAAGACTGCCAGGAAGTACCTGCATTGGAGCGGCCTGCGCAGGACGTTCGACTCCAAACTCTAAACGAACTGAGGTTTGTGGGGTTTAGGGTTTGGGGTTTAGGGTTTAGGGTGTAGCATTCCTATACCCTCCATCTACCTTCGGTTCGAGCCAGCCCAAGTACCATGATTTGGGACCATATAGACCCTATTTGAGGGTACATGGAGGGTCCTGGCTGTTGTTGCTGTAAGGCTCGTAACTAATACAATAAGACTGATTTTCTCTTGGATTTTGGACTCAATTTGTCGGGTTTTCGAGTATCTGCAGGTATTGCAAGCTTTGGTGTCTTTCAGGCGGGGATTCATGCTGTCATGTCGTCCGTTCTGACCGCACCCTAATTACACAGGTTTTTGATTTGTGCGGGCGTTCTACTGGTTGTCGGGTCTTGGGCACTGTCAAAAAAGTCGGGGTAGGGGGTTTGGTTATCTCAGATCGGATCGTGGTGCTGGGAACCGTCGGGTCGATCTGTGTCGGAGGGCTGCAGGGTAATGTAAACCGGTTTTAGTAGCAACGCAGGACGGGCATTGGCCATGACGTTAAGTCAAGGGCACGTGCAACGACCAACCATCTTGTGGGTTGGAAGCAACGTCGTGGTCAAACTCCCACTCCGGTTCGTGTGGAGCCTTATGCTTTAATTTTGGGGTTGAGGGTCTACCGATAGGCCCCTAAGTAGTTCCTTTTCTGTGGTCTATATCTAGAATCCTATAAGGTAATCCCAAAAAGGAACTTCTTAGGGGCCTATGGGTAGGATTTAGGGGAAGAATTACATCCAAAGACCCTAAACCCTAAACCCCTAAACCCTAAACCCTATTAACGACCTTGAAACCCCAGGGAGTCGAGAGCCACATGCCCCAGTCCTTCGTTGCAACGCTCATCATTTAGGGCTTAGGGTTTAGGGTTTAGGATTTAGGATTTAGGGTTTAGGGTTTAGGATTTAGGGTTTAGGGTGTCATCCCCATCCAAGAGTCCTGCACCTGAAGAATCCGAGACCCTCTAAGACCAATAGGGTTTAGGGTTTTGGGTTTAGGGTGTAGGGTTTAGGGTTAAAAATCCCTGCCCCTGAACACGCAGTAGAGCTTCATTTAGTTGGATCATGGCCTTAGGCTTTGGCGGCCGGCTTGTTCCGGGTTTGCTGCGATCTTGAGCGCATCGATGGGCATCGGCATCGGGGATGCTGCGCTGAAGCATGCACCTTTAACCATGAACCCTAGTCCTAAACCCTAACCACGCACAGTAGGCCAGTATAGAAAACCAATGAGACTCATTTATGAAGCAACAAAACCCTTGAAGAAGCACTTTGACAACCCTGAAGGAGCCCCTTCTTTTGGAACCCGAAACAACCACACCTCAAGTACCCCCTACAAGCCCTATGAGCCCAAAGCCGTTTTGCAACCTTATAGCCCAAAACTTGAAACCTTAAACCCATTCAACGCTTCCTAGAGCCTTAGAGCCCTCAACCCTAAACCCTAAACCCTGCTTATAGAGTCCCCTAACAAGCCGAGGCCTTAATTTCAAGGGCCCTCTCCGCATTACATGAAGACCCAACCTCCCGGATCCGCCGAAGACGCAGAAGGCCTAGTTCCTTTGTAGGATCAAACACAAAAAGTTTTAGGGTTTAGGGTGCGGTATCATATGCTTTAAGGTTTACGCTGTAAGAGTAGCTCAAAGCCAATTCAATCCACCCTAAGCCCTGAACCCTGAGCCTCAGATCCTAGACCCCACACCCAAGACCCTAGGCTCTAAACCCTAGACCCTAGCCTAGGGTTTAGGGTTTAGGGCCTGTACGGTTTATAGGGGTTTTAGGGTTTAGGGTTTAGGGGTTTAGGGTAGACTCTAGACCGTATATAGACCCTAAACCCTGAACCCCAAACCCTATTTAATATTTAAACCCTAAACCCTAAACCCAGACCCTAAAAGCCACATCAAATCAGGAGCCGCCTCCGCTGCCGCAGCTGCCGGTCCCCCCGGCACAGGCACGGGCCGTGCAGAGCTGCGGTTTAGGGATATCTAGGCTTCCTTTAAAGGGGGTTTCCTTCAAGCTAAGGGATCTATAGGTCTATAGGGTTTAGGGTTTGCGGATATTTAGGCTTCCTTTAAAAGGGAGTTTCCTTGAAGGGATCTCTAGGGTTTAGTGTAGGGCTGTTTGCGGTGAAGGATTTAGGGCTTACGGTTTTAATGCTCTGGTTGATAGGTTTTGGTTTTTGGGGGGTTTAGGGAAGTTTAGGGTTCTCNNCCCCCCCCCCCCCCCCCCCAAATATCCTTCAAGAAAGCCACTATTAGTTTTCAGTGGAGGGTATGTGGAATAGAGAGTCGGCGGGGGGTCTAGGCGCTACTGAGGCTAAAACCTAAACCCTACAGTGTTTCGGATTTAGGGTTCTTTCATGAGGTATTAAGGGTTCTACAATGAAGGTTTTATAAGGGCTCTAGAAGTCCATCGGGGATCTGAAAGCAGAGCTCCTGTCGGGGGTGAGTATGTAATGTGTGGGTCTGCATACACAGTTGAGGGGCTGAGGGTTTAGGGTTT